AAAAAGAGAGAAAAAGGAGATCTGAGAGTCTTGAAAAGCTTTCGATGGGACAAATTGAGGGGATGGGACAAATGCGACCGAGGCAAGGCCGTAGAGCTTCGAAAATATTTCCATATAAGGGAATCGTATGCGTAGATTCCGAATTTCGGCAAATCAGACCTCGCTGACACGTCAAATTTGGGCTAAAAGGCAAAAACTGCGGAAAAGCGTTAAGTTGCGTAGTTTTTGCCTTTTAGCCCAAATTTGACGTGTCAGCGAGGTCTGATTTGTCGAAATTCGGAATCTACGCATACGATTCCCTTATATGGAAATATTTTCGAAGCTCTACGGCCTTGCCTAAGGCCTTTTCCAGCAAAAAAAAAGGTGCGCAAATGTCCAGGTGCGCAAAAAAAAGGTCGCATTTGTCCCCTCCCCCCACCGCCCAAATTGAGCTTCAAAAAATCCAAAAATCGTATAAATCATTTTTCAGCAAATAAAAGATATTCAGCTTTCTCGCTAAAACCCAATTTAAAGAATATTTTCACTTTTTAAACAATCAGTAGATCAAATTGATCAAAAGCTAAAAAAAATGCCCATTTCAAAAATGAAATGCAAATCATTGATGTTTATTCCAAAAACCGGTGAGCTTTTTTTTGAGAAATTTATATCATTTTTCTATCCTTTGGGACCTTTTGGGGGCTATCCAACTTTTATAAAATAAGAGAAAATTACAAATTTTTTTTTTAAGTTATTTAGCTCAATTTTCCATTCCATTTCCTTAAAAATTTTAATTAAAAGAAAAAAAAATCGATTTTCACACTGGAATGGAAGATGGGATTTTTTTTGTGTCGAATTTCTAGATTTTGATAGAATTTTATTCCAATATCTTTTTTTTTGCAAATCAAAATGCATAAAAAACAAACGTTTCACTTTCAAACATTTCGGGAATATTTTAAATTTTTATGATTTTTTTGAAAATTTGAAATGTGAAACTTGGGATTTTGATTTTGAAAAAAAAAGATATTGGAGTAAATGTTTTGAAAAGTTATTTGATTTTAAAAAGCATATAATTCTACAGTACTTTGACTTTGTGCTAGGTAAACGAATCCCTTCTAGCGCACGGAAATCTTCCATTTTCCTATTGGAAAATGAAAGAATCTCGATGGGGAAGGAAGAATTCAGTGCACTAGAAAGGATTCGTTTAGAAATTTGAGCACAAAGTACATTGATATACATTTGGCTTACAGTACACCTGTACTTTGCATTCAAAAATGGGTAAACGCATTCTTTCTGGTGCACTTTACTTCATAAAGAATCAAATGAAGAATGCAGTGCGCTAGATGCTGTGTGTTTGGCAATTGTGAGCACAAAGTACACAAGAAGAAAAGAACTTCTATATCCCCTTTCTTTCTTCAGGCACTATCTCGTAGTGCCAAAGCTTTTCACAACAAAATTTTGCGTTTCCTTTCGTTTCTTTAGTTTTTCCCTTAAAAAGGTTGAGTTATTGAAAGGGTGTGTTTTGTGAACTTACCGCAATTTGACTATAACTTTTCATAAAGATTACGGTAGCTTTTACGACTAGTTACAGTAATGGAGTGCAATAATTACAATACTTTAAACAATGAGTAAAGTAATTTTCATAAAGATACGCTAGTTTCAAGGCAACTTTTAGAAATGATAAAACCATGGTAAAGTAACAATTGATCAAAGCCATAAAGCAGCTTATCAATGAAGATTATGGTAGCTCGTGCAGCTTAGCAAAAACATTCATCATTTTTAACGTACAGTCGCGTAGTCGTCAACTGTTTTACTAAGCATTTGGTGTAAATTCAAAGATAAATGAAACTATTCAAGTTATTCGAATCTCCTCTTGAAGAATATACGAGTCTAGTTTCGACTTTAATGAACCCAACTTCAATATCAAACAAGTTCACAAAGCTCTCCCTTTCCCCAGCTATCGCTTTGGGTTTATTTCCGAATTTCTTTGGTTTACAGGATGAGACAGCTGTGCAGAAATACCATAAATTGCTGCTAAGAAAACCGGCGACGACACCGCGAACGAACCATCGACGAACAATCGACAATACAGTACCCCCGCATTTGAGGCCAGTGCATGGGACAAGGCCAACCCAAGGATTGCCAAGACCAGGTGAAGCCACCGATCACCCGAGAATCGTGCTATCAAAAATGAAAACGGTTCGCCCGATCGTGAATCGGATTCGAGAGAGGTTGAGACTGAAGAAGATTTTGCCGGATGGAGGAGTCACGCCAGCACCAGAGACACCCGGACCGGAAACAACGACGGAGATTTTAGAGTTCGAGATTTCAGCAACCACTCCACCATCGTATCCGATAACGAAAGACTCGAGTCCATGGCATAAATTGAGTTGGACTAGGAAAGCGACTGTGGAAAGTACGACTGAAATCCCAACAACAGCAAATTCAACGGTGACAAAGGGACGATTCATCTGCAATAAGACATTGAGCAGCGCAGAGAAAAGGGAAAATGAGAAGAGGCCAAGGATTGGACCGTTCAAGGTAAGGGAAATGAGCTGAGCTTGGAGAGCTTGAATGAGGGAGATGGAAACATTTGAGATCTGCAGGAGGTGCTAGACTATAGAAATGACTAAGCATCAGTCTTTTGGTATCTGTATCTGGGGTTGAAAAATCTTGTAGTAGTAGATCATGTTGTAACGTGATTGACTTGCTTGTAGAATAGTAGTTAGCGTTTATCTAGAGTAATGAAGACGAGTAAAAGAATCGCAATCGATTCGTATACAAAAATGTAGACAAACAACGGGGAGAGGTCTAAAAATATGATAAAATATTTGATTGGCAACTTGAAAGTTGATACACTTATTCATTGTACTTTTTAGAAATAACTAGTGCACCAATTAATCTAGAGTTTTGACCAATAAAAAGGCCCATTTATTCTCTAAAACAGGCTTTTGATAGATTTTAAAAAAGCTTCAGTTTTATAGGTTTCTAGGGGCAAGAAGTTGAGGAACCAAAAATGATGAACACTCGATGAAGCTATTTGAGCCCTTTCTTCCACATAAACCTATTTTAGTGTCAATAAAAAAAGAGAGAGCATAGCAAGTTAGATAAATAGCCAAATTTTCAGCTAGATTTAATCAAATCTTTTTTGTTATAGTTTCATTTAAAGAATTTTCAGAAAAAAAGTTGAATTTCTACTCAAATCGTTTCAAAAGTTACCCAAATTTGCTTAATATAGCTTTTATTTATAGCTTTTATTTATAGCTTTTATTTATAGCTTTTATTTATAGTTTTTATTTATAGCTTTTATTTATAGCTTTTATTTATAGCTTTTATTTATAGCTTTTATTTATAGCTTTTATTTAGCTTTTATTTAAAGAAGTCTAATTCAAATGGTGTATTAAATGTTTTATGGAAAATAGTAAAAAGTGTACGAAATTTCAAGTTGCCAATCTAATATAAGATAAACAAAAATAGTTTAAATAGGCAAATAAGGGTTTGGCTCTAAAGCTATTTCTTTGGGTTTATTTTAGTTCCAGAAACCGTATAGAGCAAAAATAAAACAAATTTAAGCGCCAAAACCATGTTTTTTAGCAAGAAAGCTTTACAACGTTTGATGTAAACGAAAAGGGGAAAAGAAAAACTGAAAGAAAGGGTTTAAAACGTGGTGTACGTTTTAAACCCTTTCTTTCAGTTTTTCTTTTCTTTTTTTGTTGATTTTATACAGATTTTACTACGACCTAATTAATTTTTCTTCTAGGATGACGGTCATTAGAGAGTTATTTGATGATTTGCCAACTATGGCAGCGCCGTAGGTGACGACCGTGCTAGTCCGTGATGCGCGGTCGGAAAGTGACCTGCGTCACACAGTGCTTTTCTTTTAAATGGGTCGGAAACTACGTGACGTGCAGAGCACGCACAAAAAATATTACTCGATTAAGCTAGACCGCTCTGCCCAACATAAAAACGATCAGATCTAAAATTTTTGTGTAAGACGTGAATTAAACGTTGTAAAGCGAGTAAAGCGCTGCAATTTTCTTGCTAAAAAAACATGGTTCCGGCGCTTAAATTTGTTTTACTTGTGCCGTATACAGTTATTGGAACTAAAATAAACTCAAAGAAATAGGTTTAAAGCCAAACTCTTATTCGCCTATTTTTTCCAAATAATACCTCTTTCAAGCAAAGTTCTTGACGATTTTGGTGTTTGGCTGGTGTTGAGTTGATTTGTGATCACAACCTGGCACTTTACACAAAACTCCTTCGGGTGTTTGCTTCGAAAACTAAAATAAAAATATAATACAATACAATAAAAAGACAAAATAAAATAAAATAAAATAACAAAACAAAACGGGAGTGGGACAAATGCGACCTTTTTTCCGCACTTAGCCCATTAGCGCACCTTCTTCCGCGTTTTAAAAAGGCTCTAAAAGCTAATATTAACCAATTTCTATTCCAAAAGTTGTTTTTCTAGGTAATTTTAGGGCGTAGAATCGAAATTTTGACATAACAGAGCGTGTGGAACCAATTTGAAAGACATCTGAAAGACAAAACGGCTAGATCAAATAGATCAAAATTGTCGATTTTTCTCTTTGTATAACTCCGTCCGTTTGTTTCCACAAGCTCTGATATGTCAAAATTTCGATTCTACGCCCTAAAATTACCTAGAAAAACAACTTTTGGAATAGAAATTGGTTAATATTAGCTTTTTAGAGCTTTAGGTTAATATTAGCTTTTTTAAAACGCGAAAAAAGGTGCGCTAATGGGCTAAGTGCTGAAAAAAACGTGCGCAAATGTCCGGGTGCGCAAAAACAAGGTCGCATTTGTCCCACTCCCAACAAAACAAAATAAAATGGCACAGACTACGGGCCGTTCCCAGTGACAACCTAGACAGACGTGAAAGGTGCATTTTAGAAAACGCTAATTTTATGGGACGTATAACAGGCTCTCTTCCCCCCACTTTCAATCGATTTCAATCCGCAGATCTCAAATGTTTCAAAGTTTCCCAAGACTTCAATGAATGTTCAATGCTGAACACTGGCATAAAGTTGAAGGCAAAAGCGACATGGATGACCCATCCGGCGACAACAATCTCCACAACGACCCCGAGCGCATCGAGAGAAGTGACAAGGCCACACACGAGATGGACACTTTACGATATTCTGTCATGGGTTCGATTCGGTTGAGAAAGGAATGGGAATGGGAATGGGAATGGTGTGCTTCTTAGAAAAAAATACTACTACTTTTGCATCCTTTCCTTTTCTTACAAACAACGCACTTAACTCGAGCGTGATAAGTCGCCAAAGTTGACTTTTTTGAAAAAGATGACCAGCCAAAGTTGGCTTTTTTTGAAAAAGAATCAATCGGCTTCCCGACTAAGATAAATGGCTCTTAGCCAGTCGGCCATGGCGGCAATAACTTTAAAAAGCGTCAGAATCGATTTGGGAAAACAAAATTTTCCAAATGCTAATACCTAGCTTAATATAATTCTCTTCAATATTTTGGTTTATAGTTTTTTGGGTAAAATCCTTTTATATCCCAGCAATTTGCTGATATAGGTAAACAAGAAATTCTTTTTATGTAAACCGACTCGTTATTTAGTACTTATTAGGCTATTTTTCTAAAGGTATTGCCTAAAATATGACTTAGAATGAGTTTTCATTTCGTTCGATTCGCTTAGAGTTCGAAGAAAGCCGTTTTTCATTGACCTTCCATAATTGCATACTGATTTTAACCCTTTTGAACTTTAGAAAAGCTGATTTTAAATAAATATCGTAAATACTCTAATAGAACGCCACGTCGTACATCGTACATCGTACAATCGTACAATCGTACATCGTACAATCGTACAATCGTACAATCGTACATCGTACATCGTACAATCGTACAATCGTACAATCGTACAATCGTACCTCGTACAATCGTTCAGTCTTTTTAGAAAACCATTTTTTCAACCCTTAGATTTTTCCCAACTACACTTTTGTTACTAAAAAATACTAGCTTTCAAGAGCTATCATTTGACTCCCAAACGCAAACTGTAGCTTAAAGCAGCGCGGAGAATGGAACGTTCAAAGTTAGACTACGCGATTGTACGCCTGTCATTATGGCGTTCTATTAGAGTATTTACGGTATTTTAACATTTGTAACTACCCAATTGAACTATTCACCCAGATATTCGGTTGGTGGAAAAGTCCTTTCGGATTTTTTGGGAGAGTACCTTAAATTTGTCCAATTTTGACGTTTTATAGCTCATTCTAAAGCTGAATTCAAGACGGATCGATTGGTAAAAATCGTTTTGAGATATCTCTTTGAGATAATCCGAAAGGACTTTTCCACCAACCCAATAGATGCAATCAAAACATAGCTCAAGTTTTCCATTTGAAAAGTAGGCAAGAAAAGAACGAAAGTCCCAAATAACTCTTCCAAATAATCGCACTAAAGTGAGGTATAAAATTCACCAAAAATAAGTAATATCACCATTTTTACCCGACAAATGCACAAAGATTCTCGCTGAAAGCAAAAAAAAAACTTTCAATCTCTTTTCAGCCAAACGCCGAATTGTTAAACGCGATCCGCGACGTTGTCAGCAAATTCAAGGCATCTTTGGATGAATCGGGATTGGATCAAGATGTGCGACAAATGGGAAGACAATTACAGAACACATGGCAACAATTGCGAGCAGGTAACCGACCAGGTAGAAGAAAAGAGAAAGCTATTGAATAGGGGAAGATTCCGATGGGGAAATTGTTGGGCTTGTTTCTAACTGTGCTTGTGCTTTAAAGATCGAAACGCATCCTTTCTAGAGCACTAAATTTACAACGATTTGATGTTGAAGAAAATGAAGAGAATTCACTGCACTAGAGGCGATGTGTTTACATTTTTGAGAGCACAAAGTACACCTTGGTTACCGTATCCCAAAACAAAAGCTATTTTAAACCTGGTTAGGGGGATAATTTAGAGCTGGAGCTTTTTGGAGCTAGAGCTAGAGCCTTTTAGAGCTAGAGCTAGAGCCTTTTAGAGCTAGAGCTAGAGCTTTTTGGAGCTAGAGCTAGAGCTTTTTGGAGCTAGAGCTAGAGCTTTTTGGAGCTAAAGCTTTTTAGACCTCATTGAAAGTGATGACAAGCTAGCTAGCTAGCTATAGTTTCGATTAAGCCTGGGAATTTTCGGTGTGAACGCCAATAGGCGTGCAACGGTAAAATGGCATATCTCAGCCAATTTCACTCCGATTTTTTTGTTTCTGATATCAATTGACGCCCAATTTCATTTTCTATCGATTATTTTAGATCATTTTCTATCGGTCTAGTTTAGATTACATAAAAGGTCGGAATCTCTCCCTATAAAAGGCACCATCTATCACTATCGATCATAAAAAATGGGATCAAGCATGTCAAATGTGGGGAAATCTACAAAGCATGACCTAAAAGAGTGCCTAGGAGTCAAGAAAAACGAAAAAAAAAACCAAACACCTCAATTATTCTATCTCTAATTTAGCGATAGAGCAAGCCGATTTACGGAGGGCTTCTGGTTAGTTGAAAAAAGGGAAAACAACCAAAATCGGATCTTATTATTCGGGAATTGATTGGCGTTTTCTAAAAGGTGTCCTTTGGGAACAGCTACTGGACTTACTGAACTACTGAACAGCTACTGTTCTTTTTAAAGTCTAAAGTTTGGGTTACGGTAACTCTTTTGGGCCAGATTCTGGATTCTGCTAGCACAAGAGTCTAGATTACTGTAGCTTTTCTGGGTTACCTCCGGGTTACGGTAGCTTTTCTAAAATGCACCTTTTAGAAAAGCTTTCGTTGAGCGAAGCACAGTAACTTTGGGGAATCATCCGGGGGAAAAGCATGTTTGGGCTTTATTCCACACAAGCATTACCGTATTCTAGACATGGACACTAAAAACTACAAACGTAAACTATAAACGCTTCTTAGCTTGCTTTAAATCTGCCGGATTGACTTGATCTATAGTTCAAAAGAATAGAGAATCTCAAGAGCTTTCGAATGGCCTTGAAGCACACCGAAAAATATTAATGCTAAAGAAAGTTATGAAAGTTCGATCGCTTCGACTACGCGCGAGTACGGTCCGTTTCGAGTCAAGACTATAAACCACTGTCACTTTCTTTAGCATTGATATTTTTCGGTGTGCTTTAGGCCATTCGAAAGCTCTTGAGATTCTCTATTTTTTGAGCCATAGATCAAATCAATCCAGCAGATTTAAAGCAAGTTAGAATCATTTTTATTGTGACAGTTCATCATTTTTGTATTTTATAGTGCCCAAGTCTATTCCCGCGATGAGCATGGGTCACTTTTTAACTTTCGGGGGAATGTCAGTATAGGTGATAATGAAAAACACTCGCCTATAGGATTGGATCGCAGCTGGAATGCGTTGAGACTTAGCGCCGAGCAATCGTTGCATTCACCGGCGTTACCGTATGGTCAAGGTGGGGCATTGTGAGAAGATCAGAATCTATGTAGCTATCACAGAAAATCCCAGATATTTCTACGATCAAACAAAACACTAATTATTACCGTAACCCGAGTGACTCTGGGTTTGGAAAGTAAGAAAGTACTTTAAAAAAGCACCAGTTGTACTTTAAAAAGTACCAGTTGTACTTTAAAAAGCACCAACATCAATTGTTGGAAGACTGTGTAGAATTGAGATCATCTAAAGAGAGGTAAATGCAGAGTCAAAAAAAAAGTCTACAACACAACACCAACATTACCGTAACCTCAGACAACCTCAAACACATTTCATTTACAGGTCCAACATCGGTAAACGAGCAATTAACGCAAATGTTCGCTCGATCTCAATCTCAAGATGCTCCAAGGAAATAAAACCTCTTTCGACACCCTGATTTTGCTCAAATTAGACAAAGTCTAGTTTAAACAAGAGCTTTCCCCTCCCCAATCAATGTGTTGCTTACTGTGATTTCCCTTCTCTTTATGCATTCAATTCAAATTTCTTCTCACAAGAAATTATCAAGTGTAAGTACTATGTGCTTAGCATAAATAAATTTTTATCATTTATTCACAAAGACTAGAAAGTGTGAGGGGATATTGCTCAATCGGGTAATCACAGCAACAAATTTAGGGCACACAAAGATATCCGATGATTGGATAGATCCCGTATTGCAAACATTCTCAACATGAAAATTTGAGAGAATTATAAATACAAGGTGAAACGATGCTACAAGGATAGTGTAAGGCCACGTAAAAAATGCAGGACCAAAATCACCAAACCTCATTGTTTAGAGGTCGAAGAGACGAGGGTAGTCGAAGGCGGCAGTCCAGTAGTCACCTCCTCTGGGGCGACGCTTGACAACGGCGACTGTTTGTGGGGGTGGCAGAGGCTAAACAATTATTTCAGATTTTTAGAATACATTCACTAATTTCAAAAGATCTTTTTTGCCAAAACTATGCGAAACCTAACTAAATCCACAAAAACCTTTAGTTTCTAAACAGGCTCACTATTTGGTTTAAGCATAAAATTTCAAAATTACCCTGGGCATTTCGTAATAAGAACATTGGCAGTCTTGATATCCAGGGATGAGAACATCGAAGAACACAGAGGCTGGATCCATACAAACGATCTAAATAGAATGGCCCAATGGATTTTTAGATTTAAAAAATTACTTCATGAAGGTTTCCGTTGCCTGGCGACAGATAAATCGCATTGTCTTCTGGAGTCAAAATTCTGGAGCCTTCATAAAGAGCCTAAAAGAAATTGGGACATAATTGAAATTTGATTAACCTCTATTGTTCCATCGTCCTCGGGCGCAAGGTGAGTTTTCGTTGAAAATGAGTGGATCTGAAAGAAAAGAATAAATTACATTAGTTCCTGAGAACCCACCTCAATCTTTCCGTAGATGACTTTGATGAAACCGTGAATGAGCGGATGATCATGCAGTGGCACTTTGCAACCAATATTGGTAAGACCAAATGCACCGATTTGTAGATTTTCCGAGAAGTGGATCTAAGAAAATAGGTCACACTAGAGAAAACAAGTGATTAGCACCTCTGCAAAATGTGTCGGAGCACCAGTGTCCTGCCATTCTAAGCTGCTGGGCCTGTTCATCTAAAACAGAAAATAATTTCGAGGAAATCAATCTAGGCGGCAGTTTATCTAGCTCATGTAATAATTTACAAAAGAAAAGAAATTACCCGCAGATTCTTGTAGTTGACTTGGTTGACCAACTCCTCGATCTCGCGTTTGTAAGAGAAGATCGTCGACCGAGTGATACGTTGTTGAGCGAATTTGTTGCACATCTCTTGAATAGGGATCAGGAGAGCTCGGAGAGCCTGACGATCCATCTAAAGAGAAATCGTTAAAAAATGGTACGAGACAAAACGAAACATAAGAAGCGGAGAGCTGGGGAGGGGACCTCTGTCAAAACGTTTTTGGAAATGGCAAATGATTGTGAAAAATTAACCGCTTTGCTAGACAGATAACTTGAGCCAATGAGGGGGACACGGCATCAAATACGCGTTTTAGTTTTTAACTCTTTCCAGAGGTGGAAAATGGCAACAAAATGATTAATTTGGTGAAATGCCGCTTTTTTTTCTCTAACAAGCGTTCGTAAAACTTTTTATTGATGCTCAGAGAGGTCCCCAAAACAAAAAGAAACGATGGGCAAAAGAATATAAGGCAAGTGCGGAACGGAAACACAGGAAAGACACGACCTGATCAAAGAATAAAACTAAAAACACGATATCACAGTGATCACAGCTCAAAGTTTGTTTGAAAAGAAGGAGAAAGAGTAGAACTTCAAAAAATATAAAATTTGACAACATGGGCAATTTATTATACGTATTAACATGGGCAACTCGTCGGTTTCAAATCTGAATCGGAATATTATGCACACCAAAGAAATATACCTGCAAACAATAGAAACACAAAGCACCTGCAAAAAAACACCAAAGATAACAGAGCAAGCGGGGAAAAGTCATGGAAAGACAAGCACACATAAAAAGAACAACAATTATAACACAGAAACAAGGAGAATTTCTAAAATCATCAAAAATTTTTTACACTAGGTACCCGAGTCGTTCATCGTAACCGACAAGAATGTCGGATTTTGGATCCGGATAATAGGTACTCCATAGTGAACCACTGCACTCCACAGGAGATGAGCATGAGGCAACGAGGCGATAGAACTTGGCCACCATTTGGAAAAAGTCTTCCTAAAGGTGAAAAACTTGCAAATGGCGAAACCTGGGTCCGACCAGAACCATTTTTCTGTAACATACCTTAACACTCGAGTCGAAAAGTGGGAATCGAACTCGCCCAATCGCTCGACTACCATCAGTAATTGTAGCAGTCCAACTGGATACAAATTTAATAATGTCTATACGTTATAGCATACATTCCAGTTTGTTGTGACCTCAAGTTCTTGAGTGAAGGCAACACAAGTTCAGCAAATTGTTGTCCAAAAATCGAATCGTACGGTGGCAGTTTTTGGGTGGCCACAAGATGCCCTAAACATTGATCACCTAATAAAAACGATTAGACACTTACCAGTTTGATCTTTCCATATGATCTGAATTGCAGGCGAAGTCTTATTCTCGGGAATACTTGTCGGCAAGTCACTCATTCGTTCCCATTGGAGAAGAATTGTTGGAGATCCAGTCTAAAAGCTTAAGAATGGCCAGGGAAATGGTTTTTCTAATACCTGATCAACATATCCGGTATAACCTCGGAAAATCTCTTCTTTGTGATCGATTGAAACTCCTATTCGTATGCTTCTCAAAATGTACCTAAAGAAATTTGTCTTTATTTCGATCAAAAAACCTCACCCATTAACAATTGGTTGTTCTTCAATCAGCGTATCATGTATCCGCTGAGCAAGAAGTTCAATCGTTTGCCCATGAGTCGTCTGAAAATTTATTCAAAAGAAAATAATGAAAATGTTTACCAAAACAGTGAAAACGAGTTGCCAGTTTGCTTCGAAATGTTCTCGATAAACATGAATGGAACGCAGTGAACCGAAGGATAATGAGCCCAATTTTGCCATCGAAAAAAGACGTTGCGTCAATAAAGTGTAAGATTCAGCTAAACACGTTTTTCGAATTGGTCCAAAAAAAGACTTACAATATCCATCAAAGCCAGCCTCGTAAAGGTTGACATGCGATGTGTTGAAGGCTTTCGAATTGGTGTTAAGCAAATGAGAGCGATCTCTGAAAATAGTAACAACTTACAACCACTCATATCTACTTTTATAGGTAGTTTAAAATCTCGTAACTCACCTCATCGCTTGTGCTTCAGCTGCAGCAATCGCATCCACGTCAATCAAGTTTTCAAATTTCCTAGCCAAATAGTAGACTTTCTCTTTGGCTTTCTAACAAATGGGTATTGGAAATTTAAGTACCATGAGCAAACCTCAAGTTCAAACTTATGAATTGTATCTTTTGTGAACACTAGCGGTGAACATCCGCACCAATCGACAACCTGACAAATTCACATTTACAAAGCCAAACTCTTAGCCAAACCTTTTTCAAAGACGCACATCGACATCCTTGTTTTCGATTCCAATTCGTTAATCGCAAATTCCCTGTCACCACATGATCGCAATACATTGAATTTGCAGCTAACTAAACTAAAATATTAGCATCAGCTGCAGAAAATTAACCGTGTGATAAAAACTTTCAACGGGAAGGATGATGCTTGAGAAGAGTGTTCGCAACTTTTGTGGCAACTCCTCGTTCGAAATGGAATATCTGAAAATTTTTCCTTATGCAAAATGTTAAACATCAAATGTAGCTACTTGGCGAAATCCTTGTGTAAAATGACCCAATCCGATCCACCGTCAATTCGCAAGCCACGCGGGAATTCGTTTCTAAAATGAGCTTTTAGGAATTGATGAAGCTTTGAACAACCTCTTGCCAACTCTCCACATTCTTTCTTCGCATTCAACAAAGACATAATCGAATCCTTGCTTTTGAATGAAGCGAGCCGTATTGTAGCCATGACTTGCCAAAAATGAACGTCCATTGTTCCTAAATCAATGTTCAAAATACTAATCTGTGCCAAACAATGTGAGCTGTGTTTCCAATTCGGCTAGCGACATCACCGGGAAATCCGACTCGGACAAGTTGACGAGGTAATCCCAAGAAGAAAAGTCTGAGAAAGACAATAGTTGGATTTATTGAAGTAACTTACTTGGAATGTTTATGGTCGTACGAATTGCATCAGTGATCATGTCAAGTAGTGAAGCTCCACCCCAAATTGTACTCCGACCTTCAGGTTCCACGTAGAGATTTGCTAGACGAGCAGCAAGATCTCGCATTTCTAAAAAAGTAATTGGTGGACGAAAGGACAATAAATTTTTGAATCTTTATCCAGATATCTTTTTAAAAACTTACTACTCAACATGTAGATTTGTCGTTTATCAACGTGAATGTAATAAAAGTGATTTGGCGAGTAGATTGATTTCAATAAACGTTGAACCTAAAGCAAGATGGTATCTAGAAACGAGTAAACCTCAAACCTGTCGAATATTTCGTCCATTCAATTGCAAGACAAATAAAATACGTGCTTTTGTCGGTTTTTCTTTTAGTCGTTCAACCTCCAAGTACAAGGGTCGCCTCGTTAGTTGAGCTGCTTTGACTAAAAATTATTTTGCATAAGAAAAACGCAGTAAAACTCACTAATTAAACCCGTTCTGTAGATATCAATAGCGTCAAACCCGCCACATTTTTGTGAATCATCTCCAGTGCAATTGTATTCTTTACATCTAAAAGCTAATTAATAGTCAGGCCAACTATTTTTCCACAAACTTAGACCGTTCAATAATATATTGAGCATCAAAATCATCTCCACAAAAGCACTCTTTCCCGTATTCGACTCCTAAAAAAGTATAAATTTCATATAAAGCTAAATAACAGTTACCGTAATACAAAAAACCAGCTCGATAGCAGTGACTTTCGCATTTGTCCCTGGTGTTGTCAGCAAAATCATATTGATGACCCTGAAAAATGACTAAATTTCAACAAAATCCATTCTAAAATCGTACCTTTAGCTGTCGATTCGAGCTTTGATCATAGAAACATCCCATGCTCACACCAGCTAGGGATGTATCTAAAGTGAATAAATCACAAAAATAGACGCAATCCCGTACCATAATTATGACATCCACTCAGCGGCATCGTTTCATGAAATGAACCATTCTGAAGTCGACACGCCGCCTGTTCGATCTTTGCACGACATTGCTCAGTTTTTACCCAAAATTCAAATTTTGAATGGCATTCTTGAGAAAGTTTACCCTATTCAGAGCGCTTTTTGCTAGTTCATTGCTTCCATCAAGCACACATTGTAGTTGCTCATGCAGTTTCTAAAATATTGAGTGAACTAGTATCAAAATATCCTAAACAAACCTCATTCGCTCTCTCTTGTATCACCGATTGATCGCTTGGTTTCTCGATTTGCACATAGTAATAAATTATCGATACTAGAAATTGAATAAATGAGAAAAATAACAAGAAAACTTACAATTTATAAAGAAGAAGACAAGAGAGCCGAGAACGATTCGAAGAGTTTTTCCCATCGGTCCTCGTGTTTTCATTGCCCACCGGAGGAGAACCGGTGTGCCTAGCATGCCCTGTAATCAGAGAACGCTTAGTGAAAAGACGATCTTAATCGAAATGGAAAGGATTTCTAATTGTTGGGCTAGAAAAATAAACCTAACATAAAATGAAATGTTATTGGATGTCAAAGGTTGGTCAAAGAATCTACCTTTTATACTTGTTTTTGCAATAAAATTTTAATTTTATATCAAACACAATCGAAGTTGACCTTTTGAGGCCTGGCTTTGTTGAATTCTCGTGTATATTCAAGCCTAAACAAGCCAAAAAACTGTTTTTCCAAAACACTTTGCGTATGCTTTGCTTATTTGATTTGATGGTTCTTTCCAAGCCATTATTATCGTGCTACCGTGCAGCTCGAAATGAAAAACAAAACATTCAACGACTTTCTTTGTTTCAAACCCTATAGAACCTTACCTTCCATATCATTGGTAAATCCATCAGAAAACTTTAGTATTGCTGTTAAAATAACAAATGATTTGTTAGAAAATTCTGTTGAAATTTTGAACCTCAAAAAATCGTAGATGTTGAAGCAGCGAGAAGTCGGGAGAGGAATCCACACCGAAGAGGAGGCCATGCGGGTAGAAACAAAGAGTCGTTTGTGGATGGGGGAAAGGGGAGCCGAGAGGAAAGAACTCTATAAACTATCGCTTTTTTGCTTTCAACCAATCCAACAAAAAGAGATGGATGACTCGAAAATTAGCTCCTCGTAAACGCAGAAACAGATGTTGCGAGTAGGATGGTAAATGGCAAATTGAATAGTGAGACAGTCAATCTCTCACTTACAAGCCTGCCACAAGAGTGCAATTTTGCTTAGAGGTAGCTGTTGTTGCAACATTTCGCAAGAACGATACAGTTTTCGACAACAATTTATTAAAATCTAAAAAAAATACACATATTCAAAACATACTTAAACTTTATAAAAGACACGATAAAGTAAATGAGACCAAACGAGGCTCGGTTATGAGCAAAATTCAATAACACAGGGGTCTAGTCTTAAATGCTATTATTAGAAAATTAAATTATGAAACTTCTTCATTTAGCTAGAAATTATCTAAAACTAGTCCCCAAAATAAAAGCTTACAAAAATTAAGGCTTATATGGTGGCGGTGGGTCGGCGAATCCGTATGGTGGGGCGCTTGGCTCGGGAGAACTGGCATTCCGGGTCGATCTCGCTTGTCCTCGATGTCTTGTCGATGAAGTTGACGCATAGGATTGCTCGTCTGATGAAGACCACGATGTGATTCCTTGTCGCATCAACTAAATGAACATTTAGTTTATTTGTTACTTGGGTAATTAAACCAGCAACTCTAAACTTTTCCGTAAAATTTAACCTTGAATACTACAACGTTTCATATTATTGACACTATTAAAACAACAAAAGCCCTATTTACATCATAAAAATAAGCCCACCTCCATAAGAAGCGTCACCAAAAGTTCTCGATTTCCACTTCTTGTGACCCAACTCGTAAAATCATTGATCGATGTCCCTCCTACCGCTCCTTGAATCTAAATAATAATTTTTAGAAATAAAATCCTTAAATTACTAACCTTTTCAGTCACTTTTTTTCGATCCTCGGCGGCCAAACTTTGGTAGAACGTGAACAAACTCTGAAACTTGATTGTAAAAAAAGATTGGATTTTAAAGGAACACTAAAACCGTTCGAAGATATAAAAACCCTATAAAAAGTTTTCTGGCTTAGAAAATTAGCTTTTTTTCTTTTTGCTCTTTTTTTTGTTAAAACAATACCTTTACTTGCTGAATAAAAACTAATTCCAAAAATAAAATTCACCGCATATTCTTCTGTTGTCAAATATCCATATAGGCCGCCGATGATTCCTCCAATGAGAGCTCCCGCCGGTCCGGCTAATAATCCACCGGCTGCTGTTCCTGCCGCCGCCGAAGCCGTTTGTCGAGCCACTCCACGCACCGTAGTCGAGAGACCCTGGAAATAAAAGTATTGCATTGAATTGAATTGAATTGACGCTAAACAGTGCATAAAATCATAAACGTTTGAAATCTTTTGCATGCATTCATTGATAAGAAGACTAAGCTAATCATTATATTTGTTCGTCTATTGAAAATCTGCTCCAGTTGCTTTTCTCCATAGTTTCACTAGTTTTGGTTCGTAAAATCTTAAATTTAGAATCTCTAGCTGGACACTGTCCTAATGGTACTATCTATGCCTACTAACTCTGAAAACAAATCAAAAGATAGCCTACCCCGTGTCCTTGTAGCGTTTCAAGGACGAAATTGAGGTAGTCGTGTTGAGTGGTCATCTGAAAAAAGAAATTAGAACAAAAAATGGTAATTAAATAAGAAAAATATCGGAAGACTGTCTATTTGTGGGAATGAAAGGATCGAAACGGTGGCAAACAAGCAAAGAAAAGGTGATACGAGAGTCAGTCAACGGGAAAAACATTCGTGACTAATTTTAAAAATGGGAAAGTTTCAAACTAGAATTGACAATGAATAAATTGAATTGACAATGACTCCAGAAAAGCTTTAAGTAGTCAAAATAAAGTAGAGAATAAGTAGTAAGTAGTATAAGTAAGATAATAAGTAAGATATAAGTAGTAAGTAGTATAAGTAAGATAATAAGTAATAAGTTTAAGAAACGGGCGGGTTTCGTGAATAAAATTATTAACGTTGACGACATTGCCACCTGATGCTGTCTGACACATATTCGTTCGCCTGCGCATCTCTGCGCAAATTCGAAGATTTCGAATCAAAAATTCATCCAAAAGTTTAGTTTTTTTAAAAAATTCAAATATTTTTCGGCAAACTGAACCAGTGATGCAAGTTTTCGATATTTCCTCACACATTTTCGTGTATTTGCTGACGCGGCGAAATCTCTCGTTTTTTGGGTGGCCTCGTTTCGGGGCGGATTGTCGCGTAATCGAGAAACCTCGAGGTCACAAAGGAAATTTCCAACAAAAACAAGAAAAGGAACGCTTTTGATGGTTTTTTGAGATAAATCTTCCGAAATCCTCGAGAACATAAAGATCGAAGAATGGATTTCGAGGAGCCGACACTTTGCGACGATTATCTCCCGTTGGACATCGTCACTTTTGAGGCACAACTGCAATATCGGGGATTGGGGAAAAAGGTAAAGCTTTAACTAATAAATCATAACTTTAGGCTAAAGTCTTTAGTAAACTTTCAGCTGAATATCTTCTAGTTTATAAATCAAACAAAAGGGGCAGCTACGAAAAATCTACGCAAAAAAAGGGGCGGGGCTTCGTAGCTTTCATAGCTGCCCCATTTGTGTGAATCTTTTCCATAAAATGAACAGATATTCAACTAGTGCTTAGAACTATTTAACTAGAGCTAGAACTTTGAAAGTATAGTCTTTAGCTTCTTAAAGTATAGTCTTTAACTTCTTAAAGTATAATCTTTAGCTTCTTAAAGCCTAGCATTCTGTCTCATTACAATATGCTAGGGTATTAAGCCGTTAAAACTGGACACTTTGTTAGCATCGCTAGCAATATTTTTTTGTAGCCCAGCCAAGTACATGTTGATCGTACTCTGTGCTCTAAACACTCTCTTTCTAGCACACTCAACAACAACCGGTGTTCTAAAAACGACGAGCATTTTGGTGCGCTGAAAGAGTGCGTTTTCATGAGCACAAAGTACACCGAATGCATCAGAAGTTGCGTTTTGTGTATGAAAACGTACATTAAACGTTTTTATTTAAGCATTTCAGGTCAAAGCCACAATCCCACTGCCATTACCCGATTCGAGCGATGCAGACGAATTCATTGCTCACATTGTCACGACACAGAAGATCCCTGATCCGTTGAGACCCGGTAACAACTTAGAACTACAGTAGCCCTATCGTAGACATTAGACAGGAAAATTCCAACCCGAACCTAATTCCACCTTCGTTTTCGCAGCCGTCTCTTGACCGATTGCTCTGAAATTTTGTCTATAAGCAGAGTATGCTAATTTCTATTTCTAAACAACATTTCAGAGCAATCGGTCAAAAGACGGCCGAAACGAAGGTGGAATTAGGTTCGGGTTGGAATTTTTCCAAGTTCAGTAGAAATTACTCAGCTTTTCCGAAACAAGACAAGTTTAGAGCTAAAGAAAAAGTTCGAGGAGTTCATCGAAAAAGAAAGACAGAGATTGGAAGATGCGAGAGATGATCAATTAATTCTCAACTCAAGAATTGAAGATCTTGATCTGCAATGGAGTCGCGTATTCGAAGAAGTATTTAATAAGGGAAATTGGGGGAAAATTTCATTCAGCAAAACGAGAAACCATGTACTTCAACGGCTTCTCAATTCGGCGATTATTTTCTCTTCATCATGGAGAACTCGAGCGCCGAGAGATTGACACTTTTGATGGAAAAAGAAGTGCAAATGGTTGATAAGGTGAGGCTAAAGCTATTATGAATCTTGTGATGTAATCATTGCACCATTCTGTGATGTAATCATCATTCTTGTGATGTAATCATTGCATCAAATCATTGCACAATTCAAGAATTGAGTTCACTAGAAAGAATATGTGGCTTTTACGTAATTTTCGGGTATTTTGAACGGGTTAACTTTGAAGGCCTATGACTTTTTCCAGAGATAATCTTTTTCTTAACTTTTTATATCATTGTACAGAGGACATCTGAGGCTTTCAAATGATATCAAATAGAGCTTGGCTAGCTTTTTCATTACCATGCAAACAAGGCAAGCCGACACCCGAGTTTGAAAAGCCTCATTTTCTCAGAGTTGGCTCTGATTTTCTTGGATTGGATTATTCAATCAAGCTCTATTTGGTATGATTTGAAAGCCTGAAATGTTCTCTGTACAATGATATAAAAAGTTAAGAAAAATATTATCTCTGGACAAAGTTATAGGCCTTCAAAGCTTGACGACCCGTTCAAAATACCTGGAAACGACGCAAGAGCCGAATATGTTTGGATGAGATTTCATTTCTGCTTTCAGATGAGCTCCATCGTTCGTGCTCGTGACTGGGAATTGGACTCGTTGAGGCGGGAGTGTGAGACATTGATGGAATCAACGACTGGAGATGCACATCCACACGAATTGAGTCGTTTGAATGAGAAAATGCGGGTGAGTTACAGTACAACAAGTAAAGTTAGCCTAGATCATCAATTGTAGGAAACTTTGAACAGTCTACTACATAGTAAATCTTGCTATCTGTAGCTACTGTAGCTACTGTAGCTATCTGTCTACCATAGAGCTATATTTCTGTAGCAATCTGCTTACTGTAACTGTCTGATCTACTGTAGCTATCTGTCATACTAGCTATTTAGCTTTACTATTTAGCTTTACTATTTAGCGTTACTATTTAGCGTTACCAAATTTTCAATTAGATTAAATCAATTTGAGCAAGTGAAGATCGAGCCTTGTTAGCTTAAAAACTTTATAAAAAGTCATTTCTATCTTTTAACAAATTTTCAGCACGTTCACAACACATACACTTGCCAAATCGAGGCGTTATTGGAGAGGCAAAAGTTCAGCTATCGGAAAATCGTGGCAACAATGTATGAGACAGATGAGCTGCCGAAGGAGTTAATCGAAGAGGAAAAGGACTCGAATTTGGTCATTTCACGGTGGGTAATTAATTTATTCAAAAGACACCGCACATGTACAGAAATCATTGAGCAATTGGAGGAGTTGAAAGACTTCTGCCTGTCCAGTGATTCGTTTATTTCTGAAAATTTGAGTGATCTCGGAGTTTCGATCTTACCCTAGCCTCTTTTTAATAAGTTAAAGGCTGTACAAATCTATAAGAATACGTGTATTAGGTTTTCTAGAGTACGGTAGAGTACGGTAGCTTGTAATAGCTAGGGTACGATAGGGCATGAGCTCAGAGGTTCTAGCTTTGCCCCCATTGCCAGCTTCTAATACAGGCTTAGCCTTTAGCCAGTTGAAAAACCCACCTTTCCATAGTAAGCCGGTGCATAAGCAGGGACGGCTGGTGCGGCTGCAACAACTGGAGCAATTGGGGCGGCATAAGCTGGAACTGGGGGTCCAACAGGCACCGCTGGAGCAGCAGCAACGGGAGCCGCTGGAGCCAAGACTGATGGGAATGGTCGATAGTAGGTGTAAGTTGAAGCAGGGGCCAGCTGAAAATGGAAAATGAAGAGTTGTAGCTGTAGTTGACTCACCACTCTTGGCGCATAGAAGATTTGCCCGCACGCGACACTCAATAGCATGATGGTGCAGAGGGCGCGGAGGGAGCAGCTGAAAGTACGTGGGTTAAGGTTACTGTAAAGTTCTAGTATTAGTAAGACTACAGTGCTCAGGCTTACTGTAGGCTTACTATAGCAGGTGTATTTGAAAGCTTAAGACTAGTACTATACAAAGTAATCCAAGTTAAAGCTAAAGATTTGATGGCTTATAGGTAAAAGAACTAGTCTTGGCTAGATACAGCTAGAGGATTGTAGCAAGGCTTACTGTAGGATAATAGGAAGGCTTACTGTAGGATAATAGTATGGCTTACTGTAAGTTAATAGTAAGGCTTATTGTAAGCTAATAGTAAGGCTTACTGTAGAATAATAGCAAGGCTCACTGTAAGTTAATAGTAAGGCCTACTATAGACTTGCTGGTGCAAGGCTTACTGTGGCTTGCTATAGAATTGCTATAAGCTTACAGTAGCAACTGTAGGTTTACTCTAGGCTTACTCTAGGCTTACTGTAGGTTTACTGTAGGCTTACTCTAGGCTTACTGTAGGTTTACTCTAGGCTTACTCTAGGCTTACTGTAGGCTTACTGTAGCAAGAAACTGTCTACTTTAAAACTCAAAAACCCACGTTGTTCCGGAGATCATCGTTGAAAAGTTACTTGAGTCTTGGTTGCCTCTGACTCAATTACCTCCTTTTATATGTCCTCGAAGCCGATCATCTTTGCACGTATCTATTAGCTGAAAGGGAAGCGATGTACATAGAAAGTTATGCTATTTGTTCTGAATGGGTGTGAATTGAAGAGAAGGGAAAAGGCTTTGTTCATGGGAAACAAGCAGTAGGTGACTGTTGACTGTTGACAAATAAGCCATGATATGAAAGAAATGCGAAAAAATGGGTGAAAAGAAAAGAAAGAAAGAAAAGAAAGACCAGAAGCCATTGTAGACAACCAATATTTGCAGCCATAGTCGGCATTGAATCGGCTCTCCATTTTTTGACTGAATAGCCGCTGCAATTGCTGAAGTAGAGGCTGAAAAGTGAAAATGTTTCGAGAATTTAGAGATTTTCGCTATAAGCTTTAGTTTTACAAGTTTTAGTTTTACAAGTTTTAAGATTTTACAAGTTAATCAATATCCCATAGCAATTTTAATCTAAGAAAAACTAGGATTGGCTTTAAGAAAAACTATGATTGGTAGTATTGCAGAGCCTGCAGAAATTGAGAGAGATTTGCAAAGAACTGCAAATTTACTGGCTGAGTTTGCAAGAAGCACGCTTACCGAGTTTGCAGGAAGCATACTTACCGAGTTTGCAAGAAGCACACTTACCGAGTTTGCAAGAAGCACACTTACCGAGTTTGCAAGAAGCACGCTTACCGAGTTTGCAAGAAGCATACTTACCGTAGTTTTCTATTTTCAACTCTATTCTAGAGTAAAGTTAGACTTTATTCTAAACTAAAAGGTACATTTTTAAAAATCAAAGTAGCTTTTATGAGATTTGCAAAGATTTTCAAAGTTTTCGGATTCCGAAATAGGTTAATGCACTTTCCAAAGCGCACAAATTCTAAAAATCTACCATAATCCACAAGAAAACAGCTTGAAACGGTTGCTTTTCAACTCTTTATCTTCGAAAGAGTCACTACTTTTGATCAAAAAAAAAATTCATTCAAATCAATTCAAATCCAATCCACTTGTTACAGAGTGTTCTCTCAACAAGATTCTTTCGCTGAGGAGAACATATTCGACGAGAGTTTCACCATATATTTAGGTAAATAAATCAAAAAAAATCCTTAATCTTTATAAAATTCGTTTAATAATGCAAGTTATTTGCAATTCAGGAGCGCAATTGAAAACGATGCACAATGTGCGGCTGTTGTCAAGAAAGACCCCACTGAATGGACCGCTTGGAGGTAGAGAGAGCCAAATTAGAGCCAAATTTTTGTTAAAAGATTAGGCAAAAATGTGTTCAAACTTGTTGACTGAATATTTTTGCATTAAATTAAACATTAACCTTTAGAGTAACCTTTAGAGTAACCTTTAGAGTAACCTTTAGAGTAACCTTTAGAGTAACCTTTAGAATAACCTTTAGAGTAACCTTTAGAGTAACCTTTAGAGTAACCTTTAGAGTAACCTTTAGAGTAACCTTTAGAGTAACCTTTAGAGTAACCTTTAGAGTAACCTTTACAGTAACCTTTACTTTACAGTATTTCAGGGAGCATTTCTCAGCGTCTCCAATCAGCGATGAATCTCTACAGAAGAGGCGGGCTTCATGGAACGATCATTCTCGTAGAAAAGCATCCAATGTGGCACACTCAAGAAAGGACCGGTAACTGAGTTTTTAGATCGATTTACGAGTATAATATCTATATTCTACAGTATATTGTAGTTGATTTATCCTTTTCCAGATCTCGCACGAGCTTGCGAGAAGTCTACTGAGCTTCACTTTGAGACGCTCGGGAAACAGCTAGAACAAGTGCAAAATTCGGTGAATTTTCGACATCTACAAGTTCAAAAAGAATCGAAATTTCTAATCTAATGCATATGTCGTAGCCGTTTACGAAATTCAGCCGCTAACGAATGAGGGTATTTCCGGGCATCCAATCAAAAAGTCACCCACATAAAAAGTGTTCATAATACATATATTTTATAATAAATTTTTGAAATTAGCTCATTTGGTTCAGTAGAAAATTTTTTCTGAGCCTCCAAAGTTTAGGTTCAAAAATGGCTATAAAAGATTTTCTACTCAGCCAAAAAACTTGCCTAATAGCTCATTTTGTAGCCAATTTGATGTAGTTTCTTAAAGTAAAGCCATCTAAAACAATTTTTCGTTGAAAGTAGGAGAAAGAGGGCGAGGAACAGATTCAGGGCAATTCTCAAATGTGAAAACAGCGACCGAGTTCAACTGAAGTCGTTCCTCGCCCTCTTTCTCCTAGTTTTGAAAAACAAATGTTCAATCTAGCTTTACTTTAAGAATCTACATCAAATTGGCTACAAAATGAGCTATTAGACAAGTTTTTTGGCTGAGTAGAAAATCTTTTATAGCCATTTTTGAACCTAAACTTTGGGGGCTCAAAAAAAATTTTCTACTGAACCAAATGAGCTAATTTCAAAAATTTATTATAAAATATATGTATTATGAACACTTTTTATGTGGGTGACTTTTTGATTGGATGCCCGGAAATACCCTCATTCGTTAGCGGCTGAATTTCGTAAACGGCTACGACACATAAATTGTATAAATCTAATGTATAAAATCTAAAATTGTATTTAAAATCAAATGTAAATTGAATTACAAGTAAATGCGATTCTTTAGATCCAAGGAGCCAATCAATGGCGTTGTGAGCAGAGTTTACAGAAAGTGACAGCTGGGCAGAGTTTACAGGTGATTGAGATCAAGAAAAAGGTTCATAAAACGAAGAAAAATATTCAATTTAGATTTGAAACCTTCAAAATCTAGTACTTATCTATTACTTATCTATTACTTATCTATTGCTTATCTTTTTCTAGACTCCATTCGATGCAGAGAAACAACGGGAAGAGTGTAGTCTTTTGGTCGGCGATCTCTACACGACAAGGCACTCGAATTTGGATGGAGTACAGGTTTAAATACCTTATTTTGGCTGGAAAATTTTGGGGATTTTAGATCATTTTTCATCTCGTTATCGATAATGCGTTGAGAAGTGGGGATATTACGAGTCGGTGAGTGAGTGTGGAGGAAAAGGGGAAATTTTTCGGCTGAATGTTCAGAATCGAGTTTGAGAAGGGCTTTTGGCTTAAAATAGATGTAAATAGATGTAAATAGATGTAAATAGATGTAAATAGATCTAAATAGATGTAAATAGATCTAAATAGATGTAAATAAATGTAAATATTGGGTTGGTGGAAAAGTCCTTTCGGATTTTTTGGGAGAGTACCTTAAATTTGTCCAATTTTGACGTTTTATAGCTCATCCTAAAGCTGAATTCAAGACGGATCGATTGGTAAAAACCGTTTTGAGATATCTCTTTTCTAAAACAAAAAAAAAGGGGGGAAAACGAAGGAAAATCGCGAAAAGCGACGGAAAGGCTATTGATCTGAGGGTCACTGGTTCGACTTCCACCGGTGACAATATTTTTCAAAAATTTTTTGCTAAGATTCTGAAAATTTGTGTCTAGGGATTATTTTTGACGCTGATCACGAAACACATGTTTTTAGCCTAGGTTTCTGCATGGAAAACTAACGAAACGTGAAAACAGCCATTTTTTTTTTTGCTCTGCCGCCCTTTACTAAAATAGCTGTAAAAACTTTTAGAAAAGAGATATCTCAAAACGGTTTTTACCAATCGATCCGTCTTGAATTCAGCTTTAGGATGAGCTATAAAACGTCAAAATTGGCCAAGTTTAAGGTACTCTTCCCAAAAAATCCGAAAGGACTTTTCCACCAACCCAATAGATCTAAATAGATCTAAATAGATGTAAATAGATCTAAATAAATCTAAATTAGCTTTAAAGCTGGCTTAAACTTTAAAACTAGCAGGAATATGGTACTTTTAAGGAGGTAAACTGTATCTTTAAAAGTGAGCACGGGATTTTTTGATACCTACAGTACTTGATAAAGGATCATTGTAAAATTTGTTAAAGAAAAGTAAAGTTATTCAACTTTTCGATGGCTTTTCTTTTTTATGGCTTTTCTAATATGCAAATTTTCAGTCACCCTTGTCTCGCAGGGATTCGTAACGTGATTCGAGCTTGTTCCCGTTTTGGTGTCACGTCGATCAGCATCCCATTGTTGCTAGTAGAAGAAGCGAATGAGGTAAATTGATTTCTATAAACTGAATTCAAATCAATTCAAATCTAAACCTTCCAGAATATGACAGTTCAATGGTGTGTGAAGAGAGCCGAGTTGGTCTTCAAGTGTGTGAAGGGGTATTTGATGGAGGTGAACTTTTGAACTTTTGAATCTGAAATAGTACCACCGTTTGACGATCAAGTGATCATGGCTGACCAGGTTTAGGCCCAATGACATCCAGAATTTGCAAACGCACCCTTTCTGGTGCACAAAAAGTCCCCCATTATTGTTAGAAGGCTTCAACCGAGTTCAAAACGTTTTAACAGTTTCTAAACCAACAACAAATAAATTTTTCGAGGAATTCTTTAATCCTGGAAGGCACGCTTGCCAATAAAGCCAAAACACGCTCTCTCTGGCGCACTCGAAAACTTTCTTTTGGGTGATCAGTAGTGCTAGCACTACAGTAGTCATTTTCAGCTCTAAATAGATTTTTTTTTGTTATTTTAAATAGTCATTCTCAGCACTAGTCACTACTTTGTCCGTTAAACAAGTCTACTAGAGGCATACTGTACCTTTTGATACGGTACATACTTTTGACAAAGGATACCGGCTCTACTGTGATCCATTTTCTATTCTGCACTAAGAAGAAGGGAAGGACAAGTGGCTGAGCCGGTCAAATGCTATGCGACCTATACCATTCGACGCAAAAATTTGTGCTGATTCTGAATATATATTCCGTTTTTGCTAAATGACAATCTGCCAGCAGTTATAAGCGTCTAAAGTTTTGTTAGGGCTCTGAAAATTTGGCCATTTAGGTCTTAACGGTCTCCTTGTAGACCAGTTTCAGTGTGACCGTGGCCGAGTGGTACAGTGTTCGTTTCCAGATCGAGACCTCACGAGTTCGATCCAGACTTTCGATTTTTCATTGCTTTTTTCAGCAACAAGTGTTGACTAGTTTGTGCAAATTCTCGATCTGGAAACGAACACTGTACCACTCGGCTACGGCTCCACCAACTAGTCAACACTTCTTGTGTTGTGCGCGCACAACATATTTCTTGTTGTCACACTTTCAACGAAAATCCAAAGTGGGGATCGAACTCGTGAGGTCTCGCTCTGGAAACGAACGCTGTACCACTCGACCACGGTCGCACTGGAACTGGTCCGCAAGGAGACCGCTAAGACCACGTTTTCAGAGCCCTAACAAAACTTTAGACGCTTATAACTGCTGGCAGATTGTCATTTAGCAAAAACGGAATATATATTCGAAATCAGCATAAAATTCTGCGTCGAATGGTATAGGTCGCATAGCATTTCGACTCAGCCACTTGTCCTTCCGTTGTAAGTTTACAATTTTCCATCAATCATTCCAGGTATGCGGTTCTGGCTGGGAATCGAGTGCACCGGGTGGTCCAGCGCTTTCCCATTCTCCTCACTACAACATCAATTTCGTCCTCCCATCCGGCTTGGGTGCTTCCGTGCTTTCACAAATCACTGCCATGTTCCCCACAATTTTTCACTTGGTCCCTTCGAAAAGTGCTTGACTTGTATTTCTCTTTATTTTATTTGTCTTTATGCATAAATTTCTTAATTCAATTTCAAATTAAATACACTTTACTAGAAATTACATCAGCGACAGGAAAATCCGTAGTGGTTGTTCAGCCAAAAATTCTCAACTTTGCAAAAGCATATGCTAATCTATTGGGTGGTTAAACAACCACCCAATAGATTAGCATATGATTTGCGTCGGTCGAAAGGTTGTCATTTGTAGCCCCGCGTACACGCGGCTCAAAATGTTCAATGAGAAACCGAGAGAGACACGTAAAGGCGCCGAATTGAAAAGGCCTAAATTTCGCAGTGATTTCAAAAGCTTTTTCAAAAAATGCGCTTTGTGTCATTCTTCAAATTGAAGGGCTTTTTTTGTCAATTCCACAAAATTTTCCCTAAATTTTCTTCTCAAGCAACTTTGATTTAGTGAAACAAAGCTCATTTCGACCTCATAGTCAACGATATTTCGGTTTTATTTTGATTTCACTCTATTAGACTTTGGTTTTTATCGTTTTATCGATGACGTTTTATCAAATTACGTTTTTAGGGAATGCTTGATGAGGTCGAAGCCCCAGCCACCACGTCAATTGAGCAAACGGAGCCTCTACAAGATTTGTGAGTTTACCATTTTCGATGGAAATTTGAAGCAATTTAGAATAGAATAAAGTACAATTTATTCAATCGCAATGAAAACAATGTCATTTTGTTTCTTTTCCTCGCATTTTACTCGACTTCTTGCTGCATTCGCGTTTCCCAGAGCTCACAGTTTTTATCATTGACTTTGGCACGGAGCTGGAAAATGAAAACATTAGTTTTTAATGTAGATAACCTAATCAAGATTGATAATCTATAAATAGGGTCGACAACTTGCATTCGGATCGATTTCCCTGTCGAAAAGCTCGGTGTCTGTCGGCTGAAAGTTTGTGTCAATTGCCTCGATCTCTTGAATCCATTCATCGTTTTCGCTCTAGATAATAATAAAATTGTAGAGATAAGATATTAGTTAAAGCCCACCTCTAACTTTTCGTCGATATTTCCTCGGTAAACAGCCGCTTCACGAAGTGGGATTTCTTTCAGCTTTTGGTTATAGATCGGCGACTAAAGGAAAATTTAATTGGGTTTTCTGTAAGGGTTAGACCTTATCAGGCAGTCCTTCTCGATTTTGCAGGCGCCACAATCGCCGATTCTCGACCACACTCGTTGCTGTACACGAACCGGTTGTGGTGTTTGTGGTCACACTTTCATCTGTAGCTGGCTCCTAAAAAGGAAGGATTAAATTCAACGATTAAGCCTACCTTTGGCTTCACTTCATTGTCGACCGGTTTGGGTAAAGAGACCTCCTTCGTAGACTTGGACTCCTAAAATTACAAAACGAGCATTAAATTCTGCTGATTAAGCTGAAAGACCTTTGACTTTTCGACGTGTACTTCATTGGCGACCGGTTTGGGCACAGAGATCTCCATTGTGAATTTTAATTCCTAAAGTAAAAAAGATTAAGAGTAAACAAAACTCTACATTTCATAAAGTAAAGTGTCTACCTTTCGTTTTTCCAGGTGCTCAACGATTTCCCCTGTCTTGGGCACAGCGACCTCGCGCTTTGATTTCGATTCCTAAAAATAATCAATACCCAAATTTTTAGCAAAACACTTACATTTCTCTCTTTGCTTTTGGCCTTTTGCGACGCAGAGCACCCGATTGATCCAAAAACGAGAAGAAACGGCAGCAAAATTCCTAAATAAAAACATTTTGAGGGAGATTGGATTAAAAAACACTTACCAATGACAAACGTTTGTATCATTTTTCCCGTCGGCTCGTTAAAACTTGGCTCGAATCCTTGAATCATAGCGAGTATTAAAAAAAGTATGATCAAAATGAAAAATTTTATTTTCTTGAGGGAAGACTCATTCTCTTTAATGCAGATTTGTATATGTAAATTTAGAGACGAAGATGTGAGCGGGACGAAGATACAGGCGACTCCTATCCGGAAAAAGAGGATTTTGTCAAGGCCTACAATTGAAGTTAGTTGTGCATTTTCTTTTTATCTAATATTGTTTTTAGTTTATCAATTTCCATCCTGAAGCCATCGAGTTTGTGGACCGAAAAGTGAAATCGCCATCGAAAGTGGACAAGTACACGCACATTGGAAGAACAAATGAATTGAGGTTAAAACCAGAAAGATTGCTAAAGTTTAGTACTCTCTTTATAGATTCAAAATGGTAAAGTCTGATTCCCGATTGATCAAGACTCTTCTACACGCGTATGGGTTCACACAAGCTTCGGTAAACAATCCGGTCTTCAATTTGCTTTGGACGGGTGCTCATTTGAAATCACACATTTTGCGAAATCTAAAACCGTGGTAAGCTTGCATACGAATACTTTAATTAGTGATCTTTTTAGGCAAAGAGCTAATCATTTTCCGAGATCTTACGAGCTCACTCGAAAAGATAAACTTTCTGACAACATTGCTCGAGCGAAGAGAAATTTCGGAACACCCTTTGACTTTGTAAGTGTGAAGCTTTTTGGCATTTGAGTTTAAAGTTTAGATGCCTAAATCTTTTGTCACTCCTCGAGATTTGTCCAAATTGTCAATGGAGATCGAGGAAAACTCGCAAAATCTTTGCACATACATTGTGAAGCCGATCAACAGCTGTCAAGGAAAAGGAATTCATTTTGTGAATAAGGTGAGAAAAATATTTGCTTTTAGATTTACACAAGATGCTTTTAGGCTGACGAGGTTTCACTTGAGAAAAAGCTTCTTGTCTCTCACTATGTCGCAAATCCACTTTTGGTGAATGGACACAAATTCGACTTAAGGTATCATCAATGTTCCAAACTTAAAAGTTCCTTTTCTTAGAGTTTACGTGGCTGTGACATCATTTTATCCACTCATTTGTTACGTCTACAGCGAAGGACTTGCGAGGTGGAATATATCTCGGAATGTATGAAACCGTTTTTTACAGATTTGCCTCTGAACAATACTCGTCGACTGCGGAAAATGGAAAAGAATTTGTTCACTTGACAAATTATTCGTTAAACAAGAATAGTACTACCTTCGTCAAGTAATTTTTTTATCTTTTACAAAACTAATTTTGTTTTAGGAATGAAACTTTTTTTGAGGAAGATTTTGGACATAAATGGACACTCGGTGCGCTTTTGAGACATTTGCAAAAGCGGGGAGTCGATTCAAAATGTAAGTTTTTTTTGTTCTTATATCAAATTCATTAATGCTTTTAGTACTGATGATTCGAATCGAAGATCTCGTCACCAAAACATTGCTATCCGTTCAGTCAACTATCTCCGCAAAATGCCGGTGGGTCCTATTAACAAAAATGTCAGTAGAACATTACTTTTAGTAGCACCGTTTTGGCGATCAACACGAACTTTGAGCTTTTTGGCTTTGACATCTTGGTCGATTCAAAGTTGAAGCCATGGCTTTTGGAAGTGAATCTCTCGCCGAGCCTTACTTGGTAAGCCTGTTTTTAATTCATTCTTTAAAGTAGACTTTTTCTTTAACCATGCGCTTTAGTGATGCTCCGCTCGATTCCTTGGTGAAAACACGCCTCATTTGTGATCTTTTCAACCTCGCTTGCATTCCGTTTTACGATCGCAAACCGAGAAATGGGCAAAATGAGACACCAAAAATTCGAATGGCAAGCCCTTCGCTTTTGCCCGTAAAGAAATCTCCAATTGCAAAGGTATGCGCAAATTTTTACATTGCGATATTAAAGTTTTTGTTCAGAATCTTGTAAATGGCAGACCTTTGGATTGTCGAGCGGTGAAACACATACGAAAGCTAAGATTCGAAGATGCGAGAAGAGGGGGATTTATTCGAGTTTTCCCAAGAGTTGGATCTTTTCACCTATACAAGTATGACAAAACATGATATTAGACGTAACGGGCCTTTTTAGAGAGTTGATGTCGCATAGTGGAGTCGAGAAATGGGACGAACGATTGTATGAGAGTGTTTTTGGCGAAAAATCATTCGACGAGGAGGGAGTATTTGCGCAAAAGTTCCACGAGCAGTTGATGAAAGTTGAAAAGGTAAAGAATTGAATATTTTTTAAAATATTTTTAGTTTAGTTTCCTTCGACGAATCTACTGGACAACGATGTCTCACAAGCTATTTCAACTTGGCTTGACGGAGCAGAAGAATACCTGCAAAAAGTGACACGGGAAGGCGAGACGTACATGGGTTGGTAATATTGATTTAGTGCTAAAGAGAATGCTATTAGTACGTTTTGTTTAATTCCAATTCTAGCCAAGCTACCACTGGTGAGAGAATCGGCTCGTCTCCGCACAAAGAGTTGTTCCGATTTCTACGAAGCTCGAGCTGCAGCAAAGTTAGTGGAGCCAGTTGTGGAGAATTTTGCAGCCACTTATCAAAAAGAAATCGATGATAGGTATGTGAATTGTTTGAAGTTAAGATGCAAGTTTTGTACCAGTTTTATTAGTGTACAAGTTGTTTATTTCAGTATAATGCCGTTAAACGACTTGACAAACAGTGGTCACGCGCTCTTGGATTTTGCAAACCTTATCGAGAATCGATCCATTGACGCAAATTTGTGGTAAAAGTTTTCATTTGTGATAACAAACAAGCATTACTACTTTTAGTTCCACCTCCACTGCTACCACCGTTAGCTGTTAAAACGATTAAAATGTTCCCGATTTTTATATTTTTTAAAGATATCTATTATTTTGTGCGATGTCTGGGTATTCAATCCAATGAAGCATATCCATTTTTGTGTTAAATTTTTACGAATTGTGGATCAGCTTAGTGTTACTTTGATTTAAAATTGTGCTCAGGTTCTCATTTTGATACTGATAGGGAATAAACAATTGATAAATGAAAGGTTTTTTTTAAAAGGCAATCGGTTACGATCCGATACAAGTTCTTCATGAAAATTTCGCCCACTTACTTTTGTCAAAACGCACGTTTTTTATAACAATTCTTGATTTAGGTATTTAAATGTCAAGTGGTGAAGAGGATACTCCACTCGGAGAACTCCAGGCAAAACACAGAAAAGAGAAGAAGGACTTGCAGGTAAAAATCATCTTTTAACGTGTAACTTGCAATTTTTCAGGCCAAGATCCAAGCGTCGAAGAAAAATGCAAAAAGGTGGCAACAAGAAGCAGCAAAAGAAGCAAATGAAGCGGCCGAAGCGATGGAAAAGGAAATGAAAGAGAGACACGACCGAGAAGTAAGTTTTAAAAGTTTCATTCATTTACCCGTTCACTATTAGATCACTGAGCTCAAGTTGCAAGAGGTGAAAGTTGGAGGAACAGCGGAGGCTTCAAACGCTGCGAAAAAAGGCGAAAGTGAGCACGAAGATGATGAGGAGTCGAAATTCTATCGAGAACCCACGAAGAAGTCTAAGGTGGGTTTAATTTTGAATACTAGTCCGGTGTATCTCAAGTCCAAACAAGAATGCTTAGGCAATGTTGCGACGTGAAAAGAAAGAGGAGGACAATCGACGAGCAGCCGCAGCTGCGAAAGAAGATGAGAAAAACGCTAAATTCGGACAACGCGCTAAGGAGTGGGAAGTTATCAATCGACAACTTATTGAACGAGTAAGCAGGGAGCTGAAACGACTTTTGACTACCGATTTTAGGGTCTCGAGACTGTGGATATACCGTCTGATGGTGATTGCCTTTTCAATGCCATTGCTGATCAATTGAGACAAAACGGCAACGGTGGAGGTAGTTCTATGTTTTATGAAGTTACATCAAATTTCTCTAGTAACTGGAAAAGAGCTCCGAAGAAAAGCAGCTAATTTTATGCGTGCCCATCCCGACGATTTCATGCATTTCATTGACACTTCAGAAATTGAAGGCGACGATGTACGGTTTTAGCTGTTGACAGTATCATTTTTGTTTTTAGATTGATCATGAGGCATTCAAGAAATATTGCAAGCGCATCGAAGGGGACAGCGAATTGTGGGGTGGTGAGCTCGAGATTAACGCTTTGTCGAGAGCCTTGGAAAATAAAATACAGGTAGACTTTAGCGTTTTTTTAAATTGGGTTGAGTTATGCTTAGAAATTTTTTTTGCCTGCACCAGCATAGAATAATTTTGATTTTAGGTGATTCAACCAGATGGCCGTCTCCTTGAATTTGGCACCGATTATTCAAAGAAAGCCCACTTTGTATTAACATATCATCAGCACGCCTTTGCTCTTGGATGTCATTATAACTCGACACGTAAAGCAACACAAAAAAACGACGAATAGTCATTTTCGGCTACTTTTTGCATTTTCTTGATTTTTTTGGTGAATAAATGCACTGGTTTTCTTTGTGAGCTTTTGATCATAGTTGAAGAGCCTATTTTTATCTATGGTAAAAAGAATTGTGTATTATGGGGGTTAGATGAATTATTTTTACGTTGGTGAATTTCGCGAATTTCGGGCTTATGAGCTCTTTGCATCGAGAAGCGGTGTTCAACTTTTTTGTCGAGAAGGGAATTCTGTTGAAAGACGAATGGCTATTGGCGTGCCTCGAGTTTCTTTATGGAAGATCTGTGCTCAGGAATCAGGTAGTGCTTTTATTCTAACATACGTTTAACAATAGCCCAGTCTTACCTTTGTTAGTCAGTTTTCAGACAAATTCTTATGACATTATTTTAAGCAGCCCACCCGAGTCAACGCACTTGTCTTCGAACAATGGCTCAACACAGATCTAGCCGACTCTTCTTATCCAACGATTGGGCAAATAGAGTTGGATCTAAATGCAGAACGATTAGAACTGCCTTCACAACTGATTCTTCAAGTAAGCTTTGAACTAAACTAAACTAAATTAAACTTTGAAGCTTTCTTTTTTCTTGTTTCCTTTTTGATCGTAAATTAATTGCTTGTCTATTTAGATCGCAAGTCTCACAGATATTGGAATGTCAGCGCATGGCCAGTTGAACGGTTTCACACACGATGTGGTTGACGATTCAGGATTTGAACCTCTACAAGAAAAAGATCAGGAATCATACATGAAAGAGGTTTGAATTTAAACTTTTTAGTAGCAAAAGATTTGATGTTGATTCAGAGAAATATATGCTGTATTCTAGACTTCAAAGAGGTGTTTACTTTTTGAGGCGAACGATGGAGCGAATCATGTGAAACTTCTCGAATATTATCTGACACCATTTCTTTCATTGAAAGTACGTCCTGGAGCCAAGGTTTGTTGACTTAGAATAGAATTACCTATGTGCTTCATTTTAGATTTTAATGCTACCTCAAACTCGCATAAGACGTGGAACCTTTTATTTGACAGCGAAAAATTGTCAACTACTCGGCGGTGAAGTTGAGAAGTAAGTGTTTGATTGAAAGTTATGGTGCTTGGTGCCATAGTAGTTCGGGGGTAAGGGCAGTTTGTCAACACCGGTTTTTTCCGAACTCTCCACTAGTTTTAAAAACATTTTCTGGGGTAATTAATTGCGCTGAATCCATTGAAAGCATTTTAAAGCAATTCTGAAAGATTTATATTCCAATTTGAGCAACATTTTCAGGTCTTCAAGAGAGGCTCTATTTCCGCTGGATTCAAAGGTCCGGGACTGAATTAAGAGGTTCAAAATCTCAGTAACTGCTTGAAATAGCTAGAAAACAGTTACCAAAGCTTAAATAGATACTAAATTAGGAATCTACGCTATTAAAAACTCTAGGAGCAATAATTAGCGCCCTCTGGTTCAATAGAGACAAATGTACACTGCCCACCCCCTCCCCGAACTACTATAGCACCTGGCACTTTTTCTAAAATCAATTTTAGATACGCTTCTGGGTTGCCCATCGACATGTTACGGAAACGATTGAATCTAACGTCTCTCGGGGCAACTTCAGCTTTAACAGGTAGGATCCCATTTAGAAATTTTTGATATTTAGGCTTATGTTTAGTTCAGGAAAAGAAAATGTTGCCGAAAATGCTCAAGAGCGATCTTCCCCAGCCATATCTATTCCCATTTCAAGCGAAACCACAAAGAAAATGGATCAAAAAGCTCCCATCAATGATAAAAAGGATGCGACTGTAATAGGGTTTGTGCTTGTGAAAAGCTAGCTTTTAAATTTTATGAAAATTTCCGAACATTTGTTTTTCAGACGCATTCCCTCTAGCTCCAACACGACATTTTCTTTACTTGACGATGATGATTTTGAAGACAACACCAATGATGATCCAACAACAAGAAACCAAGTCTCATTTATGGGTTTGTTGATTCATTTTAGTTTATTTTATCACTGAACTTTAGAGAGCCAAAATTTAACGATCGAAGAAGAAGATTCATTTGATGCGCCAGCACCCTCAGAATTACAACGACTTCGAGAGTATCAAAATGCGAGACGGATAGAGCAACAATTGTCTACATCAAGCACATGCTTACGTCAACAAAAAGAACAAACACCACCATTACAGTCCGACTTTTCGATGACCGACGAGCTACCACCAACCCCATCACCACGGCGGCACTACGATGAACCGGTGATTAATCGGCTACCTTTACAAGTAAGTAATAAAAGTGTTGTATTCAAAAATTATTAGAGTAAAATAGTAAAACTTGTAACTTTTTTCGGATAACTTAATAAACCAATACCTTGACCAGACTTTAATATTTTTAAAATACATTTAGACGAAAACCCTTTTCTCGGCTCCACCCATAAAACGACCAAGACCCTCAATGCTTACAACAATAAAGCAAGAACCGGATGATGTAGAAGTCATTAATCTGGAAGACGAGGATGACGATTGGAAACCCGCACCCAAAACGTTGCAAGGAGCTTTGGAGCAATATGTAAGTTCACATGAATGAATAAAATCAATTCAATGGGTAACCTGCTTGACCTGCTTAACTTTATGTTTAGGATAGAAACGAGAGTGGTGAGATCGAGCGAGGAAAAGAAACGCCGAAACACTCCGGAAAAGTTGAGGTTATTGGCAGCCAATTTTTGATTTTTGCCTTTAGATTCACGAAAACAGATGGGGGACTCCTTCACCAAATGTTCGACTTAGCGTTTCAGAGGTATTTTTGTATTAGATTCTTGTTTAAATTCTCTCTTTTAGCCACCAATTCTCACCGCTTTCAAGGAGTTGAAAATTGTTTACATAGCCGACGCGTTGAAGCAAATGCGATACACTGTTGGCAGCTTGAAGAGAAATGTTCAGGTTAGGTCTTGAACAAAAACGTTTAAAAATTTGAGTATTCGCGTTGATTGGTAATTCCAAAAATCTTGTTTTAGGGAGTAATCGAGAGAGTCGTCGAACCGCTGACAATCGTCGATAGACTGTGGACACAAACGGTGGCGATACGCGTAAGTTGATGTTCAGATTTAAATTTATCAAAAGAACTAGGATGAATCCACTTCGCCAGATGGTATCAATTGTATCATAGCTGGGAAAGTGCTCGAACAACTTATCGGGATGGCCCCCGATGAGGCGGCGGTTAGTTTTGTTGGGGTTTTGTACTAGTTGTTGCGATTTTCTAGACTTTAAATGCAATTCAAGTAAAAAACACAGTAAATAACGTGCTCCATGCTCAATTGCTCAATTTTTTAAATTTAGGAAATTCGCCGTTCCTCAAGCGTTCAACGCCGATCCGAGGGTAAAGCACGACTCGTGGCTCTACAACATGCAATGGAACGCTTAGATTTGATATTCGAAGTAAAACTGTTTCGCTTTTTTTGCCACTTAAACCTTTAGCATTTAGATTGAGTTCTTTTCCCGTCGCGAAGTGACACCGGTGATCTGTGATTTACAGACTCTCGCTCAAAGGTTGAACATGCTGTGATCGATGTTTGTCTTCCGACGATTCAATCTTTTCCCTTTTTAGTAACTTTGTGTATCATTTGATCAATGATTTGTCTTTTTGTATTGATTCGATCATTCTTATCTAAAAGCTTTTTCTTCGATCTCAAGTAGTGTAGTCGTTCTCTGTAGTCTTAAACCCAAAATATGTAATGAAAATTTTCTAAACTCAGGCTTCTGCTTAATGAAAGGCACAGATCAATTCGATTTTTTTCATTTGGCAGACCCATTTATTTAGACAAGCAACAAAAAATGAGAGGAAAAATTTCGTGTTTGTTGGTCCAAAAAGAAATCGACGACGACAAAAACAGGGGGCATCCGTAGAGAAAAGCTCTAAAAGAAAACTTAATTCTGGTGATATCGATGAACAGAAGCAAACCTTGGCAAACATGGAATGCCTTTCAATCGGCACTTTCTCTTGCTTTTAGCTCTTCTAACTCTCGATAGCCGATGCACGATCCGATTGAGTCTTCATCTGCTCGTCAAAAAGCTTCAACTAAAGAAAAAGTTTAAATACTGACAAAAATCTCTCAAACCTTCTCATAGCCTTTAGTTTGGGTTTTCTCCTTGCGCTTCGTGATGAATGGAATGGAGCCACCCTTCTTGTAGCTAAAAGAAAAACATTAGTACAGCTCATTTTACTATAACGTTCAGACAATTCGGAGAAAATACCTACTATTTCCAGCTGAAGCAACCGATGATGACAAAGATGATGACAACCAGAATGCAGACGCCCACTAAAATGAGGAGTAGAAAATCAAAAGCTTGGTAACACTAGTCGGTTATCAGATTTTTAGGGTTCAAAACGCGTGCTAGCTTATCTTTCCTACACCTTCGAATTTCCGCAACTAGTCCTTGCCTTTTCAAATGAGCTAAAATATTTGAAACCCTACATGCAATTTTCGTTGAAATCGCCATTTTCTCTAGCGGCGGCTCCGAGCCATCAGTGGTAGTGTTGGTGATGTTGCTGGTAGAGGAGTAATCATCATAGTCATCGGTGGTCGTCTTGATGGCGTCCACAGTGGTCGCGTTGATGCGAGGCGCCGGTTTTCTGGTGGTGGTCGTCTTGATGGCGTCCACAGTGGTCGAGTTGATGCGAGGCGCCGGTTTTCCGGTGGTGGTCGTCGAGTCGTTGCCCGGCTTTCCTGGGTTTGAAGAAACAACGGGTACGGGCGTCACTTTGGGATCCACTGGTGGACGCGCGGTCTAAACAAAATCCGTATTCGTCTTTGAAAACAACAATTACCGTTGTGGTGTCAGATGCGTTTGTGACGCGAGTGTTGTTGCCTAAAAAGCACAAATTATAGATGAAAGAAGGAAAATCGGCAAATTGGCCACATGAACAATAAAACTTACAATGAGATTTTCAAAAAATCATCAAAACGCAAAATTTACAAAAACAAATCCAAAAACTTACCATTTTCTCCTTGAGCAGAAACTTCGGAGAGAAGAAAAACGACAAAAAGAAACGAGAAGACGAGACGCATCGGAAAAGATGAGAGGAGAAAAATGATGGGAAAATGAATGATTCGTTGCTTTTAAGCTTTTAAATGCTAATTTCTCTCTGTAGATGGAGATTTTCACCTTCAAATTCTTTTACAGTAGTTGTGTCGACAAAAATGTTTCAACTTTCAAAGACCGTACTCTTGGCTCTAGCTTTTGATTGAATCTATTGATCTATCAACTTTTACTCTCATTCTGTGAGGCTTCAGAAAGAATATTGAAATGAAAAAAATGAGTTGATTGGATAAAAATAGAGGGGGGTAGGCTAATTTCCGCAACTCGCCATAACTTTTTTTTCTAAGTCGGCCAATCTTTATGATTTTGATTTCATTTTGTAGATCTCAATAAGTGCAACAAAATGAAATCAAAATCATAAAGATTGGCCTAGTTAGGAGAAAGTTATGGCAAGTTGCGTAAACGATCCAGTTGCGCAAATGACGCAAATGAGCAAAAAAAAATTAACCTACCCCAAATAGAGACAAGCTTACGGTAGGACACTTTTTAGAAAACACTTCACTCAACCCACATTTCAAGGTCACTTTTTTTTTTGATGCAAAAGTCATCATGTTTCCTTTTTTGTTTCTCTCAAATACATTGTGGCCAATTGTAGGGCCCTTTGCTGGGTCTCCTCATCTCTTTTCTGAAAAGGAATCGTTGTCTTGGCTACCATTTTTTTATTTTCTAAAAAGAGCCCCTTTTCTTTAATTTTCCCCTTCTCGTAGATCTGATTTCGTTTTTTTTTTCTCCTTTTCGTTTCCATTTCTTGCTTTTCCCTTTTTCAATACGTCATTTTTCTTTTTAAGCTTATAGATTTTGCTATGAGATTAGGCTATTGTTTAGCTCATTTTTGAGATTTATCCAGCTTAGGCTTTGCTTTGGTTACGTTTTGGAATCGTATTGCAAAAAGAATACGAAGAAACTATACAATGAAATGGAGCTTTCAATTCTTATTTTATTGAATCTTGATTTTTTGATCTAGCTTTTTGTCAGCGTATAAAATCCAGCTTTTGGCAAAAACCTTTGCTTTCAACTTACACTTTTTAAACAAGTAAATGAACTCGAATTTGAACAGTTAACATTTCTTTCTTTCTTTCTTTCTTTCTTTCTTTCTTCCTTCCTTTCTTCCTTCCTTTCTTTCTTTCTTTCTTTCTTTCTTTCTTTCTTTCTTTCTTTCTTTCTTCTTCCCCCTTGTCTTTCTCTCCTTATCTTGGCAAGTTAGCTAGATAGCTTACCGTAATACCTCGAATAGTAGCTCCCCATAATGACAGGGTATTGCCGCGTAGTCTAACTTTACACGCTCCGTTCTTTGCGCTGCTTTATGCTACAGTGTGCGTTTGGGTGTCAACTGATAGCCCTTGAAATCTAGTATTTTTTGGTACTAAAAGTGTAGTTGGGAAAAATCTAAGCGCTGAGAAAAAAATGATTTCTAAAAAGAAGTCAGACTACGCGACTGTACGGGCGTTCGATCTTTTACTTTCCGAGCAATTGCTCTAACCACCACCGCAACACCTCTAATAGTGATTAGAGGTGTTACGGTAGTGGTTAGAGCAATTGCTCGGAAAGTAAAAGGTCGAACTTTCGTTCTTTTTCAGAGATCCGTGGATGCTCTCCACTTAATACGTCCCAGCTCCACGTCCCAGCTACCATACCCCGTGGCGCCAACAAAGCGAGTATATAAACCTTCTCAGTTCGGTTTCCCAGTTCATTTTCATAGTAAAAATCAAAAAATTAGTCATAAATTTGATTCTTTTATGTTTTCAAAGTATTTATTTTATTTTTTACTTGAAGTATTGATAAGAAAGTTGAGTTTTTATCAGAAATACGGGTCTTTTGTAAAAAAAATCGGGTCTTTTCACATTTCACATTTCCAACAATGTTCGATGATCTAGAAAAATTTTTTTGTGCTTCTTTCTTACCTTATTGCAAAGAAAAATAGAAAAAAAACTATTAAAAGAATCAAATTTATGACTAATTTTTGATAGTTCCTCTGTAAAATGAATCGGGCTTGTTGGCGGTAGCTGGGGCGCGCTATTGAGTGGAGAGAAGCCACGGATCTATGAAAAAGAACGGAAGGCTTCAATCCCCACTCCGAAAATCTACGTCTTTTTGTCAATTCCTTCACTTTATGCACTCACTGTTTGTACTGTGTTTGTACTGTGTTTGTACTGTGTTTGTACTGTGTTTGTACGCTTCAATCAACTCTTCTAATTGCTATCAAGTCTACCAACAACAATCGACTCGATGCATTAACAGAAAAGCTAGAAAAGATGCATTAACATTTTATAATAGTGTGGTGAATTGTCATCGCTTTGCAGTTACCGTATTTCTTCGAATAGAAGACCGGGTAAAGAGTATGATCGCGTACTCCTGCGTAGCAGCCCTTTTCAAAATTTCTTTTCTGCATAAAAGCTTTCAATCAAGTGCTATAGAGCTGGAAAGTGGCTCAAAAATCTGTTAGCTCATGTGGTATTTTTGAGTCATTTTCCAGCTCTATAACACTTGATTGAAAGTAGAGTGTGTTCCTTGCAGACAACGCGTTTTCTAAAAAGCCGCCAAGGCCCAAGGATAAGCTACCGTAACCCTATGCTTTGCATCAGCAAATTTTTCAAAATGCAAATGTACATTAAAATCTTGCGCTCTTTTTCTATTACACTTCCCTTAACTCTACTCTTCCCTTAACTCTGTTACTCTTCCCTTAACTCTATTACTCTTCCCTTAACTCTATTACACTCTTCCTTGACTCCACTTACTCTTCCCTTAACTCTATTACTCTTCCCTTAACTCTATTACTCTTCCCTTAACTCTATTACTCTTCCCTTAACTCTGTTACTCTTCCCTTAACTCTATTACTCTTTCCTTTTTTTTCGCTAAAACTTAAAAATTTTTAAATGCTATGTAAAATTAAAGAAAACATTTAAAACGGAAAAAGTTAATAAACACTATTAAAAAATTATATTATTTACGAATTTACCAGGCCTATTGTCTACATTTGCACTAGAACCATTCCAAAAAAAAAAATTCCACGCCCTAAAAACCTAAATCCTTAAATAAAACCATCCATTACTATATTTTAAGAAAAGTTTGCAAATTTTTTTCGCGCGACCTTTATAGCTTTGCTTAAAAAGCGCACCGTTTAGAAAACGCGTTGTCGGAAGTTTGTCGGATCAATTGTCTGACAAAAAAGTTGTCAATGAAAATTTGTCTGACAAATTGTCTGTCAACAAGGAGCACACTCTAATTGAAAGCTTTTATGCAGAAAAGAAATTTAAAAAAGGGCTGCTACGCAGGAGTACGCGATCATACTCTTTACCCGGTCTTCTATTCGAAGAAATACGGTAGTCAAAATTCAATAAAAAAGTTAAAATTCAAAGTTGATGGATAAACTACCGTAATCAGTCACTAGACGATATTCAGTTGTCCGTTTGGCGTAGCTTACTTGTCGGCTGTACTTAAAAATCCATTATTTAAGCTTTATCT